TTTTTTTTTTTAATGAAAAAAGAAACTAAGAAAGAGGAAAAAATTGAATTTTTCTCTTTTTGCAGAAAGAATTTCTATATCAGCATTTAAATGGTGTTCAAGCAGTTTTTTTTACTTTTTCAATCTTCTCTTATCTTTATCAACCGTACCACTTTTGTTTTCTGCCATTTGTTTTTTTTCTCCTACTTTGTTTTCCTATCCTTTCCTTTCCTTTCCTTTCCTTTCCTTTCCTTCCCTTCTTTTGTCTTCTCTAAAATCAGTCTCTGTTGATTACTCATCACTGTCACTGACATTACACTAAACAACGTTGTTTGCCAACTACAACAACAACAACAACAACCTAGCCGAAACAGTAGTTGAACTATAGGTGCAATTCCCATTTGGTTAGGTTAGTCGGTTTGATAATTGCCTCTTCTTGGGACTGAAACCAAGTTGTTTCCTTCCTGAATCCGCTACGGAAAGAACAGAGTAGATCGATGAAACAAGAAAAAAAAAAAACAGGAAGTTTTTTCTGTAGCTAAATTTAGTGGATTGCAGATCAGTATTGCTGTACAGTGCCTCTCGACGGACTTCAGCAATCAGAAGGGTGTCAAAGGACTTCCGCTACATATTCAAATTGACACCTATGATGAAAATGACAGCAGCGAGGTACCGTTCCACAGAGGCTACTGCCAGATCAAAGTATTCTGCGATAAGGTAATGATTAATTTTTGCCTTCCAATCTTTACATTCTCTGTTTTGCTTCCAGTTTTCCATTTTCTTCTTCTTTTGTTTCTTTTTTTTTCTTGCGGTTATCCATTTGCTTTCCTGCATCATTTCCTGCTTTTTTCTCCTTGGAAAAGTCTTTTTTCTTTGATTTTTTTTTGCTGGCCAAAAAAAAAGTTGAAAGAAGAAATGATGAAATCTTTTCTTTCTTCTTTTCTAGCTTTAAAGTGTTAAAAAAAAGAGAAAGAAAAGAAAAAAATTTCTTTTTGAGCTTTCATTTTCATCTTTTTTCGTTCAATTTTTTTGTGGATTTTATTTTTCTTTCTCTTTTCTTTTTTTTTTCTAGAAATTTTTCTTTCAAATTGATTTTAGTTTTACAAAGGAGCAAAAAAAAAAAAAAAGATTTTGTTATTCGTAAAAAAAAAAGAGAATTTTGGTTGAATAAGTCAGAATGTTGGACTGACACAATTAAAAAGTGAGAGATTATCGTAACTGATTTTGGCATAAATCTAAGTCAGCAAAACAGGTGATTCATCAACCGTATCGGCTCCACTGGACCATACAGCCTCTCTCTATGTTCTCCCTCTCCCTTTCTCTTTGCCGGTTGATGATTATTTGCCGTATTAACAGCATATGAAAAATTCGTTTTTTTTTTTCCTGTCAAAACACCTTCACAAATTTATTCTCCAACAAAAAATATTTTTCGAAAATCAGCAAATGAGAAAAAGAAAGAAAAAAAGCAGGCAGGCATATATGAGAGGAAAATTGAAGTTTTTTATCACAATTTTTTTCTTCTTGTTGTTTTTTTTCTAACTGTTTTTACTGAACGACAAATCTGCATAAATAAAACTTAGACAGTAGTGTGAAAAATACAAATGTTTCTCAGGGTGCCGAACGAAAATTGCGAGACGAAGATAAGAGGGCTCAAAAACGTAAATTAGCAGGTAATGTAACTCGTAGATAAAAAGAAATGCGGCTCTGGATTCACAAAATAAAAGCATCAGAAAAAGAAAAAAAAAAGAGGAAAAAAGAAAAGGAGTAATTCAAAACATTTGAATAGAAAATGAAAAGAAGATTAAGGATGGGTTTCTGAATCCAGTACCGCAATTTCAAGTTAGTACCAAACGTGCTGTACTAGTTCGTCATCGTTGTCGTTGTCGTTTTCCTGTACAAGTGTGTAACTGTTATATCAATGTCACACTGTCCAATGTTCTAAATGTTTTGTCTAGTTCCATCTATGTCGCTAACAATGCTTTTTTGGCTTTTAGGGTGCTAACCGAAAAATGCTACATGAGACACGTCGGGATGAAAAACGCCGACTTCAAGGTACCGACCAATTGTAGACCTATGTGTAAACGTACTAACATTTTTAATTCAGGCTCAATTTCAGGCCGTAAGAAGTCTGAAGGCGAGTACCATGAGCCGTGTGAACGGTCAGAATTTTACCATATGAGTGATCTCACCAAACGTGCTGCATTGTTTATTGGTCCCGATGAGTATGATTCCCGGTATCTTGATGCCAGTCTAACGTTTGATCCGTTGTCTGAGCTTGAACCGATCGCTAAGCGGCCGAGACCGTCAGAACGAGGTTGTTGTACACCTCAACTTCAAACTTTTCTTTTTTGGCGATCCGTAAAATGTTAATAAAAAGAAGAAAAGACTTTGAATTGTCGTATTTAACTTCATTAAACATTTAAAATTTTTTTTCAACATATTGTTTTTGCTGCTTCTCAATCTTATTATTCAACAACAGCAACAACAGCAGCAGCGTAAGAAGAGCAAATCATTTTTGTTGGAAATGCTGCTGTTGTACAAAAAAGTAAATCATCGATTTGAGACTGGTTTGGGTTTCAGTAATGCTCTACGCAAAAAAGCGTGATGAACGGTTTTTCACAGCGTTACATTTGGTTCCTCCATCATTGTCCGGTCTGCTGGAAGCCTTGAATAAAACATATGGTGTAGAACGAGAAAAGGTATGTGAATTATACTGAATTTTTTTCCCAAATTAATAACCTACTACTACTTAATTTCATTTGGTAATAAAAAAAACCCTACAAAAGTGGAAACTTAGTAAAATTTGAGCACCTTTTTTTGCTCACAACTCTTCATCAGATGGCCACTTATATTTAACCGTTTAAATAATGCCCTATTATATTCGTCAAAAATTAGTAGGTGAAAAAAAAAAACAGAAAAGAAATGAATCTGCTTTTTTTTGTCACTCCCGTGAGCTAAAAATTTTATACATATATATATATATATATATAATTTTTATTCATTTGTTTTTTTTATATTTATATATACATTTGAAAAAAGAAGTGTTAAAAATAATCGTTCGCTATTACTGCGTATGTTTAGTGTGCTGTCTTTTTTTTTCCCCCGTTTATTAACGAACAACAATATGGGGGATGTTTTTTTGGGTAATAAAAATTCACTTATTATAAGTTTTCAATCAAAAAAGAAAAAGAAAAAAGAACATAAAAATGAAAAAAAAAAGCACTCTAATATTTTTTGGGTAAACGTAATTTGTCATCAAGCGAAAACTGTTTCTTTTTAGTTTTTGTTTCTTCTTTTTTTTCTCTCTTTCAAAGGAAATGGTAATAAAATGCAGTTGAGAAAAATATTTTAAACTTGTAATTTTTGTTTTTATTTTTCTTTTTTTTGTTCCCGAAGGAAAAAAAAATTTGGAAGAAAAAAGAATAGAAAAGCAAAGCAAAAAGAAAGGAAAGGAAAGGAAAGGAAAAACTTTTTTTTTGTTTGAATGGATGGTCATAAATAAAAAACTGAAAGAAGAAGAAGAAAAAAAAACTAAAAATAAATTTTTGAAGAAGAAAATTATATTGGTAGCAATAAAAAGCAAAGTAATTTTTTTCTTCCATCTCCTTCTCTCATTTTTTTCTTTCCTTTCCCCGACACTGTAACTCTGAGAAATGATATAGCCAATCACGGAATGGCAGCTCTTCTATAGTATGCTTATTGGCTATTTGTCAGTCGCTGCGCCCAATCAGCTGCGCAGCTTCAGCTCTTCCATGCGTCCGTCCATCTGTTATCACCCGGCAACCACTACTAAACACTTACTTCCAATCTTAAACCCGTTCCCCAACGGCAACAGTGCAGCTACAGAATTTTAGCAATTTCTTCCTGATACATAGGCATATTTACGAATTACTTCAGTAGCTCAGTGGCTTCACATGCATTCCTGACAACTGCAACTGTTGTAAACAGCAACAGACAAACTGCACCAGTACTGGTACAGTAGTGCTGTTCAGCTGTTCATTTTAAGGCAAACTAATGCTGGCTAATAGGTTAAAGAAGAAACTGGACAAACACTGTTTTCGTGTAAAAAGATAGGGCAACTGTCTCAAGTCAGGCTAACATTGCCTATATCAGCAAAATATCGCTTATGCTTGAAATAAAGCTTATATAATGAACTTTTTTTGAGACGAAAATAACTGAGCTATCGATGATCTCTGTTCCGATCATCTCTAAGTTCTATTTTTATTGAATTCATCAACATTTCTTTCCTTTCTTTTTTCTCTTTTTAAACAATAGTTTTGTTTTAAAAATTTACAGATCATTAACACATTAAATTGGTGATCACAAAACAAGTATACTTTAATTTTGCTTTTATGCTGTTTTGTCTGTCTGTTAGTTAAGTGGCATAATCAGTGGATGGTTAATTAATTGTTCAAAATAAATTTCATTATTCAGCAATTAACAGTCATAAAAATTGAAAAAAAATTTTTTTATCCGTTTATCAAATTTTTGGTTGGTTTTAAAGTTTAATTTTTTAAAACAACAACGAAAAATTTTTCATTAAAAAAAAGAAAA